TCCTGTATCAGTACTGACCGGCTCCTTGTCTCTCCTGTATCAGTACTGAGTACTGACCGGCTCCTTGTCTCTCCTGTATCAGTACTGACCGGCTCCTTGTCTCTCCTGTATCAGTACTGACCGCCTGCACCGACACAGGTCTGACTGGCCTGTAATTAGCACACGGCTTTGCTCTCCTCCATTATCTCTCTCTTCTTTATGCAAAATCTTCGTGAAACGCTTAGAGAAAACTGTTACGAGGGTCATTATACAAAATTACTTTCATTTTATTTATATCAGATTCCATTACATTTTTAAACTGCAAGACACAAATTAATGTCCTTTTGTAGATAAAAAATATGCATAACATATATAAATCTTTTCAATACAAATAACAGATTTGATAAACAATGACCCATTTATTTAACAAAGAAAACAAAGAAAAACCTTCCAAGTCGTCGCTACAGCATTTACATATTTACACATGTACAGGGTCTGCTGGCTACACTCCAGCCTATATATTAATATTTATACTTTTTTACATATGTTACAAAGTCACAAGGGACGTGGAAACCAGCCCCTCACCACATCTTGCATATTGTAAATATAGCCGCTTATATGTTTAATCGATTGACTTAAACCTCAGGGTCAATCAAATTTTCATTTGGATTAAAACTTAGTAAACCTACTAGCAGAGTCAGACCCACTCTGATTCCCATTAAATTTCTACGTTTCATACAGCAAATGTATCCCTAGCAAATCACAAACAGCAGCAACTAGTGATGAGTCTGTGAACCGGCACGTTGTGGCTTCCATGCCCAGTGACACCACTGCACATATCAGCTGCGTCTCTTATACTTGTAAATTTTTCTGATTTTAAACCACGAAAGTTAAAGAATGGGCTATTATGCAGCGATGTTCACATAGCAGACATCACACCTTAGGCATATTGATTTCAGGGAGGAGGACAGAGGACTGGGGGAGGGAGGTGCGGGTCAGACTTTGGCAGTATTATGGTAAGTATTAAGGTATTACGGTATTACTCTGTAATATCTGGCTTGTTTTCATGCACAATCCAAATAGCAGCAAGCACTGTGCTCCTATTGGCATCCACAGCTGGCTGCAACCATGTCGTCATATTGCTTCAGCACCACATTCTCGTCGTCGTCGAAATAGAGCAGATTGATTGAGAAGAGCTTGTCAGGGACGCAGCAGGGCGTGCTGATGCCCTCGGTGAGCTTGAGGGCGTGGATGATAGACTGCACCGTGGCGTGGTTAGTGGGCCGCATGTTCTGGCCCAGCGGGAAGAAGCAGGAGCCTTTGCAGTGATAGGCGTTGTAACCCCGGGGAGATACCACCCAGCTGGACCAGCCGATCTCCTCAAAGTCCACATAGAGTGGGAAACGCTGGCAGGGAGGCTCGTCCTCATCCTCGCTAAACAGCGAGCGCCTTCTGCGGAGGGCAGCTTCTGGCCGTAGGCCATACGGACGGCTAGAGGGCGCTGGCCGGTCCTTAGGCTCTGGAGAAGAAAAGTGTTCTTCATGAAACAATATAATCCAATCACCATAAAGAGAATGCACTTCTATACACCGCAAGTAAACATGTATATTCGATATTTCACCAATATTGTAAACTGAAGCAATCTACAGTGTCCATTACAGGCGATAATTTTAGTCATCATACACTTTCCTCCATGCCAGCCATTAAATTACAGCAATGTTTACGTCTTGTAAGGTAGGTTATTTTGCAGAAGCTATTCGGGCAAAGCTCCAGACTTGAATAGAATAGCAACTTTCTCACATGTGACCTGCATGGTCAGAAGTCAGTTATTTAATCACTATACTGCTTTGCCGCTGGTCAGATACACCCAGATACTGGAAGAAGCCTCACACCTTCCAGAAAGCTCTCCAGCGAGGTGGCCCGCCGCCCGTCGTCCGTGAACAGCACCAGCATCGGCTGCTTGCTGTGGTGGTGGTTCTGGCCGGAGGCGAAGCGCACCAGCTTGGAGTCCGCCTGACTGACACCCAGGGTACGCACAGTGACCAAGAGGCCCAGGTCGTTACCCTCGTCCAACATCCAAGACCTTACCTTAAAAAAAAAAAAGAAAAATCTCAAACACCCAACAAACACAAAAATGGCATGATTTGGTGTTAAGGAATCTATGCACACTCCATCCATCCATCCATTTTCTGTAACTGCTTGTCCTGTTCAGGGTAGTGGGGGTCTGGAGCCTATCCTGGTACCACTCGTTTCCAAAAATGTAGAGGAACCAAAACTGTATCGCTTATACAAAATGACACTCCGACAGCCGCCGGTGAGATTCTCCCCCCTCTGCTCCTCTGTCGGGATGGGAACCTTACCGCGTGCGTGATGGAGAACACCTCCCACCCCATGGAGTGAACAGGAATCAGTCTGGAGGATAACAGCCTCCTGTTTTGTTGTGGGTTCATCTGACGGTTATCAAGCTGGTAAATACTAACCTGCAAGAAAAACAGTTCACGTTATCCCCCAGTCCACTGCACATCTAATGCTGTAATTTCTAGTCATTTAAATCATTTTCTTCAGCTTCAAAAGACAATTAAACAAATGCCGCAATAGTATTACTTACCCATTAAAAATCACACACACAGTATTATGCTGCTTTGTCATACCTGGCAGAAATGGTGTCGATTGAACGCGAGGGAGACTTGCGGTCTCACTTTAAACAGGTGAAGTTCCGCCGTCAAAACCTTCTCATTTTTGGCAACAGTCGTCAAGTTGAACAGGAACTGAATTTGCTCACTGTGAACTAGCGAAAACCACGGTGTTAAAAGAGACAAAGAACAAAAAAACAACAAAGAAACCTTCAGCAAACCGTTAGTATAAAGCAATGAGCGCATCCAGTGCCGCATGCAATGCAGGGCAAACATGAATGAATTATCCATGGAAAATACACGAGAGCTTATCGGACGCGCTTACGTTTATCGAAGAAACTGCGCACGGTGTTACCCTGCAGCAGGCCGGGGTCTTTGGTGACCCCGTCCACATCGGCCACGGTGTTATACAGATCCAGCATGTATTGGGGGGGCTGCTTCTGCTGGGAGCGGGCGGGGGGCACGTCCTCCATGCCAAAGACCTCCAAGAGCCTCTTCAGCGCTTCGGAGCGAACATCATCCGATTCGTTCGCCAGTGTTAAGTACTTTTCCAGGGGGTTAACGAGCGGCCTGGAGGCACCGAGGCAAAGCAGCTGTACGAGCAGGAGCAGCCGGGTCAGCATGCTGGAAGGTCGCCGCACGGCAGTGATGGAGCTCGATCACCATACCTGCAGCTTTATACCAAATAACAGCGGGACCGTTGGTATGTGCCTGGGATCACGATTGTTAAAATTCCATTTAGTCATGCAAATGTAAATTAACAATCAGTGTTTGTAAAGACCAGCTAACGCGACGTTAACTGTGTGTGAATCCTCGTTATAGGTACCTCTGCTGATAGCAGCTTTGAGAAGTCCATCAGGGAACTTAATCCATTGTGCTTTTTGTTCTGAGCACAAATAGCTTTAAACATTATCTCTGACTGCCTAAGACTTTTGCACAGTATGTGTGTGTGTGTGTGCAGAGAGAGAGAGACAGAAAGAGACTTAAAAGATCTGTGATTTCATCTCTGATAAGTGGGCCGTTTGATCACTGGAGGCGAACTGCAGTCCTTCAGCGGGTCAGACAGACTGATAAATCCCACAGGAACGACAATTTCCTGGATGAACACCGGTCCTGCCTCTTGCTTGGTATGTGGCAGATGCCGTCACAATACTGACCTACCGACTTAATTACGCTGATTGTCTGATCAAACACAACACAAATAAAATAAGTGACAATTTTAACGGTAGTAAAAGTTTTTCGTTGTCCATGCAGTAGACCGACATACAGGGCGGCACCGGGATAAATCGGTCCTGGTCTCTGGGGCCCCCATGGTAAATGTCGCCGTCACACGATTTAGCGGCAGTGAGATTAACAGCCAGGAAGTTTTTCCGCCGCAGCCCGGTTTTCTGCTTCACCCTGGAAATGCAGCATCGATCCGTGAAACCGGTGCAGTTTTATCCCGCAAAGTGATCGGTTCCCTGACACATGTCTGTGGTGCCGGTATTTGTGATTTGCTAGGGATACATTTTAGTATGAAAAGTAGACATTTCACGGAAGTAAACCAGAGTGGGTCTGACTCTGCTAGTAGGTTTTTTATGCAGTTTTAATCTAAATTAAAATCCATCTGAGCCTGAGGTTTAAGTTAACATGTGGAATGTGTAGGTGGCTGGAGTGAGATTTTCCATCCGAGACAATTAAGCGACAGGTCTGCACACACATTTACATGTATGTAAGAGTTCATTACCTTGTAAATGGTCTGTAGGGTTTGCAAACTTCTCCGATGCTTTTAATGTAGCTAATTTTAGGTTTATAATGGAATAATATAGATTTGCCGTAATATTGAGCGTGAGACTCGGTAAGAGTGAGTGTCACGCCAGATGGGTGAGAGATTAACCCTAATATTTGCAATATGCAAGATGTGGTGAGGGGCTGGTTTCCACGTCCCTTGTGGCTTTGTTACATATGTAAAAAGGTATAAATATTAATATATAGGCTGGAGTGTAGCCAGCAGACCCTGTGTCCCATATCCCTGTTAGGGACACACACAGAGCAAAGCAATGATTACAGTAACTCATGCCTGTATTTTACTGTGGAGCCTGGGGTCTTACTGGGGTCTTATCTGCCATGTTCCTCACCTGCTAGACAGGATTCTGCTCCATCACAGGGCGCTTTCACACTCTGCGGGCAAGCACTCTTCCTGGCTGAGTAATAGTTAAGGGCTTGGATTTAATATGAATTGTTTTGGTACAAAATATGTGATCACTTTATAGTAACAGTTCTTTCTTTGTAGTTATTTTTGCTTGATTCCAGATGGTTTCAATGTTCAGTGAACAATTGAAAACATGAGATCCACAGAAAGAGCAGGGACAGAAAGCTATGTGTGAAAGAGCGAGAGAGTTTGTGGGTGTGTGTCCGCAGAGAGTCCTGTCCGCAGTTTGGAGAGATAGAGAGATGAATAAATCGGTTGTAAGTTCTGGAAACTTGCTCTGATAATTCTGATGGATACAGCTGGGGTTGGCCCTCAGCAGTATCCACCTGCTCTGACATCTTTAACAAATGAGGAACACTTGTTCGTTCTTCTTCGCTGGGTACAGCCCTCTCACCATCAGTCTAATGGGTCTCAGTGAGACAATTCTGGGTAAGATTTCCTTTTGCAAGTGTATCCTGCTGGTAATCAGCAGGGCAACTAATTCAAAATAATAAATTTGAAAATGAAATTTTACACAATTTGTTAAACCCATTCGTCCATCTTGTAAAATATTGGTTTGCAAAAGGAAATCAACTGACATTGTAGTAACCTGTTAATATTATGAGTCCATGCAAGTTGCTCAAGTAAAGCAGCGTTGTACTTATATTTAAATAAACAGTTTGTATTGTTTGTTCTGTGCCCAGGCATGGGGAGGTGGGGACAGCTATACCTGTATCTGAGGAGGCCTCGAATTCCAGAGGAGCCACATCCTAGACACTCTCCCATGTCAATTTCCTGGGGAAAATTAGCAAAACAAAAAACGGTCATTCAGCTCACAGCAGGCACCAATGTGTCCTGAATGCAGGTCAGGTTCTTGGCGGGGGAGGGGGCGGCTTAGCATACTAACTGTTTTGATTTAGCACCCCGTGAGCTAATTTGTGTCCATTTACTTGTGCCACATTTGCAAAGGGTGCCAAACAATGAATATGGAGACAGCACAAACACATAGTGATATAGCTTAACATATGGGATTTTTCATTCAAATGAATCATCTTTATAACATGAAGATTGGAAAAAAGTGTAAAAAAATATTGTATCCACTACAAAGTATAAATGAGCTGAAATAGTAATATTTAAGAAAGACTGTAATTGTAATGACAATAATTTAATACGATCACATAAAATTTAATAGATAAACATTTTTCATAACATGGTTAAGAAATTATTATTGTAAAAATTGTTTTGCTATTACTAAGTTACATTAATTACTGAGTCAGAGGCCACACATTTGAGCATAAAAACAACAAATTAAACACTGGAAGCCAACGTTTAACCAGAGCACTTTAATAAAGAGTGAACTAGGAAATTGCCTCAACTTTAAGTGCCGCTGATAGTTTCGGACATGTTGAAAGCTAAATTTGGCAAAGGACATTTCAGTATGAGACCCTGGAAATGTGTCACTAAAATGTGATGACTGTTTACATGGAAATTATGCTATTTGTTTTTTTCCTGGTCTAATTGTAATCGCAACATTTATCCTGTAACTGAGTCCTTTTAGTTATAGATCAGGTATATAAGCGTGATAGAATCCAGAAGGGTACCGAGAGATGTGAAAGAAAAGGTGTCCATCCTGGAGAATGAGGTCATCTCACCAGACATTAACGGCAAGACGAAGTCACCTTGTCGTTCAGTTTGGTTTGAAACTGAGGCTATGGATGGTCGAACGCTAAAGATGGACATGCTGTCTATTTCCAGCGCTGTCTCCTGCAGGCTTTAATCAGAAACGTTGATTGAGCTATTCGTACAAACTAAAAGTTTCACCTGACAGGGAGATGGTCCCTAATAAACACTGCTAAGCTGACAACTACAACGTGAGTTAACTGTCTGAGTTAGTGAGCCTTACTGCAGGCTGTAACTGATCTGGACCATGTTTCCCAAAAGCATCAAAATGCTATGGTGGTCATAATATAAATAAAGTTTAATGGAGCTTCTAGTCATTGAAGCATTAAAGTACTTTTGACAAGAAGACCGCTGTCCGCGTAGAAGATGAGGTCGAAGCCGGTGGTGTTGAATCCGCTGCAGTGTTCACGTTCTGTAATATGTTTGTGTCACATATACGTAGTAGTTCATTTCAAGTCTTGCACTTAATAAATAACGGAGATAACTGCTAGACAGAGGAAAGATCATTGAAATGTCGTGTACGTCCATTTTCAAACTTCTCCTCCTAGTGAGCTGAGCTATATGGTCTTTTATCTGTTGACATATATTTCAAAAGCTTAGTCAGACATTTCACTGGTGAAATCTCTACAGGGGTCATTGATGTTATAATTAAAGATGAATTTCGGATACAGGGAAAGTTTCTTTTGGGAATGTTTGTGTTTTTTATGATCAGATGCTTATTTTCCAGTTTTGGTGCATTTCAAAGCACTGTAGCAAACTGCAGACTCATGGAGTTCATGTTCACGGCGGCGTTTCCCATTCAAAGCGCAGTGTACCCTCTGGATAGACCCCAGCAGATTCACATACATCGCTCAGCAAAATGACTCAGTGAATTTAAGCTGGCACACGAGAGACCAGGCAAGGACGGTCTAATATCTTTGGTTGGGGTGAGAACTGAGCCATGAGACAAAGCGTTTGGCAGGAAATGGGATCAGTGTTTGATGAAAATACTGTCATTTTCAGCAGACATGGGGGCAGCAATGGGAATGAAAGAAGACAAAGAAGAAATCTGCCTTTCCTGGAAATGAGAACAGTAACGGACGGGCTGGTGAGGGGAGGGGCCACAGCCTGGTGAGGGGAGGGGCCACAGCCTGGTGAGGGGAAGGGGCCACACCACAGCCTGGTGAGGGGAAGGGGCCACAGCCTGGTGAGGGGAGGGGGCACAGCCTGGTGAGGGGAAGGGGCCACACCACAGCCTGGTGAGGGGAAGGGGCCACACCACAGCCTGGTGAGGGGAAGGGGCCACAGCCTGGTGAGGGGAGGGGCCACAGCCTGGTGAGGGGAAGGGGCCACACCACAACCTGGTGAGGGGAAGGGGCCACACCACAGCCTGGTGAGGGGAAGGGCCACACCACAGCCTGGTGAGGGGAAGGGGCCACACCACAGCCTGGTGAGGGAAGGGGCCACAGCCTGGTGAGGAGAGGGGCCACAGCATGGTGAGGGAAGGGGCCACAGTCTGGTGAGGGGAGGGGCCACAGCCTGGTGAGGGGAGGGGCCACACCACAGCGTGGTGAGGGAAGGGGCCACAGCCTGGTGAGGGGAGGGGCCACAGCCTGGTGAGGGGAGGGGCCACAGCCTGGTGAGGGAAGGGGCCACAGCCTGGTGAGGGGAGGGGCCACAGCCTGGTGAGGACGGAGCCTATCAGGGAGAGGGAAGAATGCACTTTGTACTGTCACCAGAAATAAGGGTCTGTTTGCGTTTAGCAGCATTCCAAATCTGGTCACATGACTCTGGCTGTACCTCCACCCACACAGCAAGTTCTGTGAAACTGCGAAAAGGCCACTAATCAGAGAGGAAACCGTTAAGCGATTGAATGCATGCAAATTGGACAGATCATAGAGGAAGGGAGCTGTTGTCATCGAGACTAAGCGTTTATTTTAAGGACCTGCAGACTGATTGTCATTAAACCGGGGCGCCAGGATGTCAGCGTGACAGGAGAGAAGAGAACAGGAAATGCGAGGGAAACGTAATAAATTGGATTAAAATTTACTAGGAGATACAGTTTGGTGGTTGCTAAATTGCCCTTAGGTGTGCATGTGTGAGTGAATGGTGTGTGAGTGTGCCCTGTGATGGGATGGCCCCCCATTCAGGGTTGTTCCCTGCCTCGTGCATGTTGCTTCCAGGATAGGCTCCGGACCCCCCGCGACCCTGTAGGATAACCGGGTTGGACAATGGATGGATGGATGGATACAGTTTGGTGTGCACAAGCTATTCATAATACAAAGTAAATAACAGACTTTCAGAAATGATTTAACAGGTATAACACGGTAATTTAACTTGTTTTGTTTCAGTCAAAGCACTGGAATGGTACCTTTCCACAGCTTTAGAGTTTACAACAACCAGTAGAATAATAATATGTCTCTTGTGTTTTTCTTTTTGCTCTCCAGGGGCAACTGAGAATCACAAAGTTCACATCGACTTAATTTTCAGAGAAACAGGAGAAGTTTGACAGCATCATAAGCAATTTTCCAGCTGAAATGCCAGTTAGTATGTGAGTGGAATGAGACAGAAGGAAAACAAAACCAGGCCACATACCAGTGCTTTATATAGGGATGACTTATAAACCCTAGAAATTAAACTGATTACAGAGTCCAATATGCACAGCGCAGAACTGCCATAGATAGACTAGGTAGTGTAGCAGGTAGATCAGGTATACTGGAAAACTCCAGAAGGCAACTGGGTTTATTATTGTTATTATTATGATTATTATTGTTGTTGTTGTTATTATTAATATAATACAGACACTCCTCTACTTACGAATGAGATACGTTCCAAACGGCCGTTCGTAACTTGAAATGTTCGTAAGTCGTTAATCAACATCATTTTAAGAGTATATTCAAGTACAAAGAACTAGGATGCTGGGAGTACGCACGCTACGCTGCTGGGAGTACGCACGCTACGCTGCTGGGAGTACGCACGCTACGCTGCTGGGAGTACGCACGCTACGCTGCTGGGAGTACGCAGGCTACGCTGCTGCGTGGCAGGAGTAGCGACCAGAAGTCGCACTATGCGGATTCGGAGCGCAGAAAAAAAAAATTGATGGTGCGGACAGGAAACAGGAGCCCAAATGATCACAATTTTAACTTACAGTCCTCTTCGTTTGTAAGTTGTTCGTAAGTTGAAAGTTCGTAAGTAGAGTAGCGTCTGTACTTGATTTAGCAAATTTGGAGTTCCCCTCATCTAAGCAGCTACCTGTTTTTAAAGCACTCCTGCAAAAGGTAATTGTATTTTTTATGCTTTAACAATCACACAATCACAAGTACACAGAATTCAGGGGGATTCAAGGCTTACCTGTGTTCTGATTGGTCATAAATTTGAAACACCTTCTCACTTTGGTGGGGATGAACGTCCTCAGGAGCACCGCGGCCAGCTGATGATATTGCCCACTCAGTTCCTCTCTTGCTTGCCACCTATCATTATATAAGCTTGCTTTACATTTATTTTTTTGTGCCCCCAAACACTAATTACTGACCCAACTCCCAGGTGTCACCCTTCCGTAATCAGGCACCTCCTGGCTTTTCACGCACGTGTTCCTAGATAAACATTAATTTTAAGTGAAAGAACTGAAAATGTGACAGTGTTGCACTTTTGGAGATTTTATTGGTTGTACTAGAATATAAATACACTGATGATAAACACATAAGGTATATAATGTAAAATATCCTTTTCCGGAAAACGTAAAACTTTTAATGTATGATTTTTATAGAGTCGAGTGGAAGGCGCAGATGATGGAATGTCACTTTTCAGTGCTGTCATTTTAGCTTCTGTGAGGACAGGGTCGAGGCTGAACACACACAGACACACATGCACACACACACACGCACAGACCCGCACACACACACACACAGACCCGCACACACACACACAGACCCACATGCACACACACACACACAGACCCACACACACACACAGACCCGCACACACAGGCACACAGACACACACACATGCACACACACACACAGACCCGCACACACATGCACACAGACACACACACATGCACACACACACATACACACACAGACAGACAGACACACACAGACAGACACACACACACAGACAGACACACACACAGACCCACACACACACACAGACCCACACACACACACACAGACAGACATACACACACACACATGCACACACACACAGACACACACACAGCCAGGGGCTGGATCCAGCTCACAGCGCTGCAGGTGTGAAGTTTTAGCGCTGCCTACTGAGCCATGAAAAGAAACCATTGTGCAAAATAAATGAAAACCAATGTTTTTTAAAGGATTTATTTATAAAAATTTAAAACAGAGCACTTAATTTCTTAAAGTTTTTTCCCCTACATCCCTTATTCTACATAATCATATATCATAGTATCTTTTATGACTTAGCCGGGCTCCTAACCAGGCATAGAATTTACAAGAAATAGCTACAGATAATAAAACTGTTCTTAAAAATTAAATAAAGCATAACTAGTGGAATGCTTTGGTATATTCAACAACAGTTCTTTAACCATGGTCTGGAGACTTTGCTACATATCAAAGCGTGTGAATTGCATACAGTATTATAAAGAAGCCTGGCCTCTATGTATATCCAAAAGAACGGCAAGGACAAATAAACAGTCGAAGAGTCCAACTTCGTTTATGACTGTCGCCTCAGGGTATTTTACTTGGCCTGAAATGATAGAAAATATGATTAAACTCTGTTGACATCTAATGACAATAATGATTATTTGAATCAGAATGTTTAAAACATAACTAATAAAATGTCAATTTAAGGCAGTTTGAAGAGCTATAAAACTGCCTAAACACTAATAACTGCAGATTCTAAAAGGTTTAAGAGCAAAAGAGCTCAACTTATGCAACATGTACAGTGACATGCTACCATGCTAATTTATTCCAAAATATCTATCCATCCATCCATTTTGTATACCCACTTAATAGTATATAATTGCAAAAATACAATAATTTCCAAGATCAAAGTCATCTTAGACTTCCTTGTTAGTCATACTATGGCAGCAGTGCATAGTGTGTTAATCCCTGAGCAGCTCCCTTTACATTGGTGGGGCTGATGAGTGGGCGGGGCTGATGAGTGGGCGGGGCTACCTCAGCCATGGCCGGCAGATTCCTGTGTGGGTGGAGCCACATAGTGGTGTGGGCCTTGCTTCTCTGCCTCTGGATCAGCTTCCTCATTAACCTCTTCACTCTCTTATCCCTGGGGTCAGCACACTTCACGGATTTCTTGGTGTACAGGCTGTGGTGATGTCACCAAAGTTAATGAGCCACAAAGTTAACTAATCTGGACAAGAAAATGAGAATGACTACAATGTTTATCTAAGATATATGACACAAGTTCTATGCTCAGTGGTGGAATTCTCAGAGGGTCGTGATTATTTTCTATAACTAAAGGCTCAAACTGTGTTCCTACCTGGAATAGAGTCAGATTCCTTTGACTGCTATCCAGCTAACATTAAAGGAATCTGAACTATTTCACAATCACCTTTAGCTAGACTCTGTGTTGCAGCACTGAAAGGAATCTCTCGCAGCCTGACCAGCGTCCCAGGAAGCTCCGAATACTTACATGATAGCCTGTATGCTGCAGTCTGGCCCTTCTGTCTGCACTTCGAACCTCAGCACATCCTTTGCTCGGACCTTTTCCTGGGAATACCGCATGCAGCACTGAACGTCCCTCTGCATCTGAACCCCCTTCCCTGTCGGACAGAGGCAGGCTTCATGGTTAGGGTGCCCCCCCATGACTGGTGGCCACTGGTAACCCCAGAGCCGAAAGAGCCCGGGATGGGCATGTGTCTGGGAACGACGGCGATAGTTTTGGCTTCATTATGTGATCCTGTTTCTGCATTTTGAAAGAAGAGGCGACATGTAACAGCTGGCAACGCGATCGCAGGAGCATCTCCTCCGAGAGCCCGAGGACGGTCCCTCCCGTTTAGCTCATCACCCAGCCGTGCTTCTGCTCTGTCTGCTCGGGTGGTCAAGGCGGCGAGTCAACCTGACGGGGAAGCTGAACGCACGCAGCCCGCTTTCCGAAGCTGATGGTGCGGAGACATGATAGTTAATGTCTCGCATCCTGCTTGTTGCTAACCAACCCCTTGCACACAGTTTAGAGATCACACACTGCCTGGGATCACACTTTACCAGGGTAGTTAACCACACAGATAAGCAGCACAAATTATTCAGGGCTACTGTAATCTGCAGTACTATAGACTGCTCCCCGTTTTGGTGTAATTACATGGTTTGAGATACATAGAAGTTTCTTTGTTTGCTCCTCGCCTTAGTGACCCCCTTGTTTCCTTGCAGCGACACTGCCTACTCAGGCATTCTTCTGTTACCTGAGCCTCTGTTTTCTCTCTTGTTCTCCGCCTGGCTCCTGCAATCGATTCATACAGCCGCGTTTCTGCATCACGTACGGAACTGAAAGAATTCACCGTCCAGAATCCAAGTTCCTCAGCACAATGCAGCCCTACCTTGCAGGAATCCAGCGAGAGTCACAGCGAGCAGAGCCACAGAAAGCGCTCTCGAGGACATGGCGAGTCTTACGGGAATCGATCGCCTCTTACACCTTTCTCTCTCTTGCTGTTTCCTTTTATATTTCCCCTCTCTCTCTCTCGCTCTCTCTGTGTCACACATACACACACCCCTCGCTCTCTCTGTCACACATACACACCCCCTCTCTCTCACTCCCCCCGATCGCTCCTTTTCTTCCATACTCCGACTGACAACTCCTATGTCTCCTCCCAGTTTTTTTTTTTTTTTGGGGGGGGGTGCTTTTTTCATGTAATAAAATTTAAAATTCACCTCTTTGGATGTCTGATTATTTGCAACCCAAGACAGGGCAGCTGACACATGTATTTCATATTGGGCCAAGAGCCCCCCCCACCCCCCCCCCCCCCCCGCCCGGAGCACTGCAGATACTCCCAAAAATACTGAGTATGGAATGATATTGAAAAGCATGTAAAACTACTCAGCAGTTTTACATCAACGAGTCACATCAACGGGGATCTACAACTCGGTCTTTTTAACTGGATGTGCAAGTGATGATTTTTAAACGAAACCTTAATTAGCTTTTACAGATTTTTCCAGAATTTTCTCTGCTTACCCTGGCTACAAAACATGCCAGGAATGTTGCAAATGAAATTCAATGAAACAAGCAAAGACTGTTCGAACATAACATACAAGGTAATATACGGCAAGGGCCTGAACTGGTGCCCAGTTCTCAGAAACCTGAGCACCTTTCTGCTAAATGGAAGAACCATTTTTTATTCTTCTTCAAATTCAAAAGACCCATTATTGCAAAAACCATTGGGTACACAGTTTGCATACTGTAAAATTAATTCAGTGTATTTTGAAATTTCCAATGTCCCTTGTAAACTACCTCCGTGACCCTATACTGGATAAGCTGCTGGAAGATGGATGGGCTTAGAATTAAAGAACTTCCATCATTAAGGAAAGTGTAGCAGCAGAGACCCTCAGAAGCTGCCAGCCCATGAAGACCACCCAGCGTCCGCGGTGGTGCAGGGAAGGTCTCAGCGCTTTCCATGCGAAACAAACCACGACACATCAAGCGGGTGACATTAAATGCAGCACCACTGTTCAAAGCTTTAATGGAGCTCTGAGACATAACTGGTTTCAAAGCAGTTCAAGTGTCTTAATATATGACATTTACTCTAAATGTAAAATATATATATATATTTTTGTTTTACCTGTAAAGGCCAGTTGCAACCATTTCAAATTGATTCTGCTCATTTAAACAGGGTAAATTCTTTACATTTCTGTCCACGATGTTGGCTGTTCACTGTTTAATACGTAGTGAAGTACTAATAGTATTAATATAAAAGTTAGGAGGCATCAATGAGCTGAAAATCTCTTTACGTTCAAAGTGTCATGGAAGCTTCTCTCCGCTTCCCAGGCTGCTTGCTGGTTTATTCTAATCAAAAATCAACACCTCCCCTTTTAATTTTAATAGTTATGCTTTGTCTGCTGATATCAACTGAACCAGAAGTTCACTATAACTATATAAATCTGGGAGGCGGCCTCCAGTCACTCCAGCCAATTACATTTGCCAATTATTGGCTCAGAAAAGCCGCTTTCTACAGGCTGACAGAACCCAACAGCCAACCTGTAGCTAAACATGGCAGATTTAAATGCTTTATTTTATCAGTGATCAGCTTTGTCGACCAAACAGTGATGCTGCTGTCCACTTTCTGTGGAAAGTAGCAAAACATGAATGGCCTGAATTCATTATTTCATTAGTGAACAGCTTTATCAACTGAATAGTGATACAGCTGACAGCTTTCACCCATCAGCATTTTAATCAGCAAAACTAGTCAGTGAAAAGATAGATTATTGATTATACTAGTTAGAACAAGCAAACTACTCCAATGCCCCAAGACAAAAGGCACTCAGGACTACTTAATTACTGTATAGTTCCCTCTAGTGGTAATGTAATCAAATGAAACCTATATCAGCAGTTATTTTCTCTCTGTGTAAGATCTCAGCTGACAGGTGTGTTCTCTCATTGCTCGCAGCTTTGTCTGTTACTTAATTTCAGTTGGAGACACAACATTCGTTATTCTGTAAAACAGAAATATGTAGTGCACTGTTTGTGCTATCCCAGTTTTATGGAAACTGTCTGATAAGGCATCGAGAAATGAGTGTCCATTTTGCTTTTTTCACAGAAGGTGTGGTGCTGCTCAAATGGGAACGGTTTTCGTTTTGTGTGCTGTTTGTTTAGGAACAGTTTAGGAACAGTTCATTGTGGTGGTTCTAATGTGAAAATATCTGTGAAACAGGTTCTAAAGAAGCACCATTTAAGAGGGAGATTCCGTAACGTTGGTTTATAAAAACGAGTATTGATTGTTTTAGGGTGTTATTCATATAGCAATATGTTTTTATACAGGGAGTTCAGAAGGAAATGTCCACTCATCAAACTCCGCTCATCATAGTGACTGAAGATGTCTGATAATGTCGGAGCATCTCCCATTCTATAGCATTCTATAGCATTCTATAGCACTCTATAGCATTCTTTAGAGACCTACAAATCTTTAAGCAATGTAGTATGCAGTGGAATTAAGCTATTTTCACTATAAAGTCTGACCCAACTGCAATAAATATAAATAAATGCAGTGGACTTTTAAAAAGTTCTACTCAAAATAAACATCCAAAAGCACACATACTGTTCTGTGTTTAACGGAATGCTGACCTGGCCAGTTTGGATTGACTTTTTTCATGATTCATCACATCACATGCCTCTGAATTCAGGTCTACTATGGCGATGTATCATCTTTTTCTAAAGGTTTGTACTCGCAATAAGCCGTGTACCTCTCTGTGTGTGTCCCCCCACTGCATCTTTAAATGTTAATAACCAACAGTGAAAGAGTCCGAAGTGGCTGGAGCTGGTCGTAACCGGTTTTTAATCTGAATATGAATGAGACTCACAGCTACAAGAGACAAACATCAGAAAAGGAGAAACACTTCTGGTTATCGCTGTGTCATCGCTGATCTTTTCCAAATTCTCTTGCTTGGAAGCTGCATTTGCAGCAGTCAATTATTATATATATATATATATATATATATATATATATATATATATATATATATATATATATATATATATATACACTTTGGTTGGCTCTACTATTGGCATGTTCTAAAAACACAAAAAGTTACCTTCAGCCTTGGTCAATCTTGCATTTCTTGCGTGGTTTCAGTTAAATATGGATGTATCATCTATTCTATCATCACCACCACTTAAGTCATGCAACAAAGCTGCGATATGACGATCCTTGACTCTGAGCACAACAATCAAACTGTTGTCTTATCAGACCCACATAACAGGAAGTGCAAATCTCAAGTAATGAGCTACGATATACAAATTATATTCTTAAAACTACCATGTAACACATGTAACATGTATGATTTTATGACATTGTCAAGGGATGCAGTTTGATAGCCTTGGTGATCACAGGGTCAGGAAATGGGTCAGACATTATACATTTTTTTACACTTTTACAGATACTTTATTGTGGTCAGACCCAAACCTACAGAGTCCTTATTCATGCTGTTTCATAGCAAAGAAATCAGGGCAAAAATAACAGGGCCCAGAACTGGCCTTTCATAGATCCCAGCTTTATTCATCATAGCCGTATAATCACACAAATCAAACACGCATTCAGATATTACATTCCAGATACTGATTAATGGGAAACAAGACAATCTTTCATTAAAATCTGGAATTTTTAAATGGCAAAATATCCTCCTTATGGCTTAAGTTTAAGTGAAACGCATTTCTGTCAGATCTTCTGGTTATTAAAGGGTCGTCATACAGAGAAAAACACATCAATAGTTCCTGAAAATAGCAGCTACTTTTTCCACATATAAATAGAAATTCCAAGGATTAACCTTTTACCTTTTCTCCTAGGATGTATTTGCCCAGTATGGATATAGCTGAGAGACGTTAAGCAGAGACCTGCCAGTGTAATGTTCAAGTCCAGGGATTTCCTTAAGGGATAAAGTGCAGTCATGCAAGTTTGAAAATCCAAGATGTTTTAGCGTAACAAAGCCCGGGGCTTTCTGTTTGCTGGGGGGGGGGGGGGGGTGCTGGTATGTGGAGTAGACATGTCCACACCAAGGACAACCATGACTGGTGAAATAAATACAAGTCTTAAGGACTTTGTCTATAGTCATATATCTTGCCCAGAATTTGCTAAGAGCTCACGTGTACTTTTAATAGTACGAGGAAATTGTAAGTAATTTAAGTAACCAAAAGGTACATATATATAAAAAGATACAGTATATATAAACATGCATATTGCATATAGACTTTGTAGCACACAAAGCTGCCTCAAAGTAAATTCTCATTTTTTACTAGGTTTTGGTCATAATCAATATACATGGACTTTAACTGCCCAACAATGTCCATATCAAATTGATCATATCAAAGAATATTCAATATGTATACATAAATTATTTTATTAATAAGGATGCCAAGCTGTCATAAATCTGGAATGAATCTTCTGGTCTTCAGGCAGCGTGTTGCCATCCAAGCCATGATATACTGCAGGAATTCCTGAAGTTCTCCAGTCTCTTAGCAACCTGGAATGTGTTACTTACAGTATTTGGGTCACACCGTATCGCTGCACGTATCACTTTACAACGCCGGACCTTAGCATTCCTGCCAGCCAAGAACGTACCAGAACGTACATTGAATTCCAGCGATGGCCTCCGTTGGTCTCGCATGGTGAGGATGACAGAAAAAAGCAGGCAGACGTAACATTCTTATTCTATTCCTTTTTGTCAGCTTTCAGTGACTTTTCACTGGATTATGAACAAACGGCTAATATAATGAAACATGCATGGTCCGGAAGCTGATTAAACTATTCACCTATATGAGCATCTCCAAATGCATCCTTACAAACCAGGGCTCACTGTTCATCTCCTGGCTGATTCTCTGGGTTCCTCTAGGTCCACCACCTCTGCACCTCGATGTACGACCGCCAGACTAAAAGCCTTGTCCAACATTTTAACCAAATGCTCAATCAGATGCTCAGATGAGTCATTGATAAGCCAAACCTGGGACATGATGTTGCTCTATATCTTCTTTGGAGCCTGTGATGTTCC